TGTTTACATAGAGTAGTGGTAAGGTATATCAATTATTAAATAACCCTTTAACCCTCAGAAGTAATTAACACGTAACTTCTCCATATAATATCCATACATTATCCAGCAAACAGGTAGCGAGAATACTCAAACATTTTAGGTTTAGGTTATCTTGATCTAACACAAAATTCTCTCAACTGACAGACAAAGAAATATGTAGCAGCTAGAGGGGAGAATTAACAAGCAGATCTTTAATTTGTTTCAGAGCTGTGTGCGAGGTGCGTTATTAAGGGTAACTGCACATCGGATCTCTTAAGTTACGAGACAATATACATACGGTGAAATAGAAAAAAGGTTTTTAGCTTCACCTTGATTTGATTTCAGTAACATGAATGAAAAAGAAAGAAATACTTTCTAAACGGAACGAAACGGAATCATGCCTACTATGTAGGTATGGTAGACGTAGTTTTAAATTGATGTCATTTTCAACAGCTTTTGTGGGATATGCGAAGAAAAACCGACCACCGTCAAACAAAACAAAAACAAAAACCGACGAAATTAAAGAATCGTTTGTGAAGCTATGTGGGAGGAGTGCTTGCAGAATAACAGACCGTATAGTAAACTAGGTAGCTTATGTTTCTTACAGGAAATCAGGTTTTTAAGCCGCGAATGGGTAACGTTGTTTCTCATTTATGTTACTAAGCATGGAAGTAGGTAGTGAATTTTTTAATTTATTATTGTTTCTTTTCTAGCAAAGAGAGAGTGTTATTATGAAAGGTAGAAATAATTCCACTCAGATACAAAAGCCGAAGCAAAAAGACAGGAGAAACCTTCACACTCGAACTGGGAAGTGAAACGATAGGCATTTCAAGAAAAGTGTTTCCAAATATCAAAGGGAGAGATAGGCGAATGTGCATGTTGTGCATAAGAACAACTTGCTACTATTTTTTACGAGCAAAATTCGTTCGTGAAAGGTGATTGAGCCAAAAATTAATGCAGCCACTCAAGCTGTGAAATGCTATTGGATATGATGACCGACCGTATACTGTCTGTAGTTTTACTTGCGAGAAATGCTGAACTGCGGGCACATCAATAAGTCGACACTGCCTTAGCGTGGTCTGCACTCTTAGAGACAACGTCATCACAGTGGGTAAAATTTTGCGGACTCACGAGGTGCAGTGCGTGACACGATGCGTGACACGTCAACGCGAGCAGCGTCTTCTGTAATTTTGTCGGCAACAGCAGTAATGTCGCAATCTGATTTGCAATCAGATTGCGACATTACTGCCAATTGTGGTTAAAAAAAAAACTCAAGATCCTCATGTAATTATTATATCAATTGAGGTATCAGCTCAGTACCAGCACTTACTCAATATTGCGGTGGTAACAAAATCGTTATAAGTTTCGTATCGCGATTCAACCTTTGGAGGTTAAATCAACATACAAAACGAAAGAAGAAGGAAAGAAATTGATTAAGACCAATCGAAATTCCAACTTCACATTAAATAAATTTTTCTAGCGGTTATTAATATTCCCAGAAATTTCATGGCGTTTAATGCCAAAATAGAGCGAACAGAAATATCATTGCAAAAGAGGCCCGATTATTGATCCAAACTTTCCAAGGCCCTAAAAGCGAAGTGACTAAACCGCTTCAAAGAGGTGTCTCTCTTGTGCTTAAAACCATTAAAGGATACTTTGTATTAGTTAGCAACTATTTACCCAGGTGGAGGTGGCCAGTGGTAGATACTTATCGACACTGAGGTGAATTGTTTGTTTTAGTACGTGCTAAAGCTGTGAGATAATTATAGCGTAAGATGATTTGAATTCATTTATTTCTGCTACGTATACAATATTTTCGGTCGCAAATTCCGCACGTGGTGAATATCTGAGGTTAGGAGTTTGGGTAGCCAATCAGAGCGCGCTTTCAACGCTATCCTCTGTTTTATTGTATACTGATGCTTGTTAAGAATAGTTCGTTGTAAGCGGGACATATTACTGTAATCATTTGTTTTGAAGTCACTTTTTGCAGCTGAAGTTAATTGAACGTAACTTAAGAAGACTAAATTCCCGATTGCGGAACAAGTCGATCAAATTATTGATAAGAAATAGCAGAGCCTCGCTTCAAGTCAAAGACGATATGTAAAAACCAATCCTATTGCTTAATTTTTAATCGAGTATAGCTTTCTTGTACTTTTGCGCCCAAATGTTCAAAGGGCGGATAGCGCTATGCAACGGATAAATCACTACCCTGTGGATAAGTGGTAACAAAATGTGCTGCGCTATCTATTGGATAGAGAGTTATCCAGTGGATATGCATTATTAACCAAGCGTGAGGTTAAGATGACTGGTTATTGGCCGAGTTCTCTTTTTTACACTTTTATGGACCTCGACTTCGTCTCGGTCCATAAAAATTCGAAAAAAGAACGAGGCTATTATCCAGCCATCTTGACTGAACAAGCTTGTTTAATAAAGGATTTATTATATTGCAAAACGACTTCGCTTTTTTAAGAATTAAGAATGATTTGTTTTTTTTGAAAGCCGGGAAAGTAAGCCAACGGTGTTTGTAGCACAACAAACCCACGATGGTCGTTTCTGTTTTCTATGTTGACTATCTTCTGCCGCTTTTTGCGTTTCCATCGCCGTCATTTTCCTAGAATTACGAACGTAGTTCCTATTCAAGTTTTTTCATGCGCGGGATCAATGCAGACAATCCCGAGCAGGCAAGATGGGCCCATCTAGCCCGCTCATGTAGCCAATCAGAATACAGGATTCGCTTCAACCTGCCCACGGGCGCTGCCAGCAATGTAATAGATAGCGTTATCCAACCTTCAAACAACAAGGGCCAGATCTCTTTGCTATGTACCCCCTCCTACTGGACGTGAACCTTCTGATGTTAACCTTGTGAATCATTGTCTGGTAATCTTGAATCCAAATTCCAGAGTGAGAGAATGGTTATATGGGCAGAGGTGGTCTAAAGAACGTGATGAATGAATACTTAGAAGACTAGCTACGCACGTCTCCTGCTTCCTTTGTTTCTCGTCAAATGGGAGACGTCTGCCCGAACGCTAACTCTAGGGTGTTCATCGTCAGTTCCTTAGTCTACAGCTTTGTTCTTTCTTGGATGAGAAAGAAGAACTGGAAGAAAAATAATCTTAATGGTCTCCGCGAACTGGGCAATACAATACAAGTGTGTTATTAAGAGGCTGTTAGAAAATTGTAAATTTTTTTCAATAAAATCGCTCAGTTTTCAATTATGTTGTTGGAAACGTTTGACGATATTCGTAGGAGATTTAATAAGTCTAAATCAGTCAAGGGAATAATCTCGTCCCCAGAACTCCACTTTGATTGTTTGCCAGCTGTTGTTCGCACCGTCCATACCCTTTGCAGTGTCTCTAGCTGAGATGCCTTCTTGATCGCGACTTTCTAGAGGAGACTGTGGGCAAGTTAGTCTACTTCGCAGCCGTTCTATGGGATGTCATCAAAAAAGCGGTTAAGGATGAGAGTAGAAGGAAGACAAGTCTTTCGTCGTTATTGGGTTCTCCCCCACTTTCCCGCTCTGACCAACGTATCTTACTTTTAATTTCCTTTATTGGTCATTTGACATCACCGTGTATTTTGGTTTTACCGCACTCGTGTTCCTTTTACGAGGCTGTTAATCGTCTTAAGGTGATTCCTCAGAAGAAAAGTTCTCGAACAATTTCTTTTTAACGTTTCTTAAATCTTCCTACCAATGTTTGTTTCGAAACTACGATGAAAAAGATAGGTGACAGTGCTTGTTAAATAGATATGATGAGCCAAACTTAATTAGTACTGGCACTAATCACGCGAGTCATTTCATCGGTTCACAGTAGATATTCAAGTAGCTCGAAGCAAGTGTATTTAAAGTAACAATTAAAAAAACTTGATAGGTAGGAAGTCTTAAGCATATGGAATAATTAACAATTATTCCACGAGCGCGCGTTAGATATGAGATGATAGATAGCCAACGAGGCACATAGCGCCGAGTTGGCTATAATCATCTCATATCCAACAAGCGCGAATGGAATAATTGTTTTATTAAAAAAAAAAAACGCCCCCAAGATATCAGACAAATCTTCTCGACTTTATTTTGTAAGAAGAAACCGGATGTTACGATGTAAAGATATTAGATTATGGTATATCGGTCCATAAATGGCTAAGCCAATAAAAAGTCTTAAATTGCATTATCCAATGATCCAGTCTTTAATAATTTGATTTAAAGTTCGTGGAAAAGTCACGCAACGTGCTCTGTACTCGCTTCAGGAATATCTCTTATTCCCTTCGATATATTATTTATTAATTTCTCCAAAACAAAGGGGATAATTTGTACACCAAAATTATGCAATGATAGCTATTGGTCACTATGCTCATTAGGGAGCAAGAAAACCATCGTAACCTCTTTACCTGGTCCATTTATTGAAGAGCAATACCGTGTTTTGGGAATACGCGCGCGCTTATTCGCCTGATTACGTGGTTTTATGTGTGGTACAGGATGCACAATGCAATACCGCGGAATCACCTCAACCGGACAATCGGCGAATAAAGTAGAACTACAAAAGGAATGATCTACACTGCACTACCCCTCGGTCACGAGCAGCGCTTAATTGACGCTCCAAGTCGCTGCCTCGGCGACCAATGCTAAATGTAAGCTGTTTTTAATCACCTCCTTAATTTGCTACTGAGGATGAAGGAAGATGAGGGTACATCAAGGCTGAAACACATCTCAGATGCAAACTGGTGAAAGTCGCATAATGAACCCCACCACCCACCAGACAGTTGTCTGGTTTTGCATAAACAACTTTGCTGTTGCCAAGCCCCACTCATCTAAACGTTACGAAAGTATACCTTTCGATAATTTACTTTTCAACATGGCCGGCGTGAATGACAACAGTAATCCAATCGAGTCTTCACCAGATGTAGAGACTCAGAGAAAGGAAATAGCAAAGGCTATGAAGAGGCCTTTCGTTAAGGGTGATATCTGGTAAGTTTCAACGGAAATTTTT